AGCAAACGTATAAGATACGGTCCTCTTCCCCAGCACTGCAGTCTTTTGGGGAACATCGAGGTAGCAACACATCAATCTCAGGGAATAAGATAAATCCAATAACAGTTGTTCTGTGATGGAATCTGTGTGACCGTAAGGCACAAATAGAACCAAGAAATTCTTGGGAAATTACTTCAGTTGTAAGAGTTCTCCTCAATAATGATCTTCCCTGATATATATCAGTCCAGTTATTTAGCACATAATTTATTTTTTAGTCACAAAACATAAAGGTAAAGTAATTGAAACTCCTGGAAAGACATCCAAAAATCACATGAATCACATTTAAAATTGTAGTGTCAATTAAATGTTTTCATTTCTAGAAGTTAGTATTTAATTCCTTTAGCACACATGAATTGAACAAAATGCAGTTGCTTGTCTGTGCTGTACAAGAGGTGATCAAAATATATAGTGAATTTAAATATTTTTAAAAATTTATTATGGTAAGAGACATAGTGCTACTCCCTCCCCTCAAAATACTCCCCTTTCCTTCAACACACTTATCCTGTAGCTCTCGCTACTTTCTGAAACAGTTCTGGAAGTCCTCTTTCATTTGTACAAGTTGCAATTTGTAAAAAAATAATGATGAAAGCTGGTGCTGAGTGCCATCCATTGGAAAGACAGTCTGGTAAAAAAATGACAGTGTGTCATCATGCACCTTATGCACCAGATCTGGCACTGTGTGCCCTCTGGCTTTTCCCAAGTCAAAATGACCATGAAAAGTAGAAATTTTAAATCAGTTCAGGACATTGAGGCAGCCATGACAGCACAACTAAAGACACTCAGGAAAGAGCACTTCCAGAACTGCTTCAGAAAGTCACAAGGATGATGGGATAAGTGTGATTGAGGCACAGCAGAGTGATTTGAGGAGGATTCACAGCTATTTGTCCTTTACGTAGTAATTGTATTTTAAAATTTTCACCCTATTTTTTAAAAATATTTTTTAAAACTGTCACTGAAGGAGAAGTTTCTTGGCTCCTTCAACTCCTCGTCGGATGTCAGAGTAGAGTTCACAGGATTTGTTGGAATCAGCCCTGAGATGTACTCAATTTAGAATCCTCTCCTTTTCTTCCTGCATTCTGCTGGAAGTTTTCCTTGGAGCTTGGGCAGGGGAAGGAGGCTGGACCCAACTTCCTGTCATACCTGGAGGCCCACCAACCACACCTATAGTCTCCCAATGAGTACGTGGTTTCTCTGGGAAGTGTAACAAAATTTTAATCACAGTTTTTGAAAGAAGGTAATGCATTATTTCAAAAGGAGCTATGGCTTTTGTAAATTCTAATACATGTTCATTATGCCTCCGACATCTTCAAGTTCCAGTACATTTTTGATACTGTTTATTTTTCAGCCCTTTCTCTAAATTAACCTGATTGTAAAAATAAGAGAGCAGATATTTTTCTGTCTTAGTGAATGAATGTTATAAAAAATGACATGTTCAGTGCAGAATAATTCTGAAATAGAAATTATCCATAGATAATCTCCTGTCCTTATTTCTAGAATTACGGTTACTTTGCAATTTATCTTTAATATTTTGGCATATTTATATAGGGATACACATATTTTAAGGGGCATCATATGTAATATTGATTTGTAATCTTTTTTGGTTAACATGTTCTTTTATGTTAACGTACATATATACACATGCAAATATATGTACATGTTAATATGCAGAAATACACGCATACTCTTGGTATGCCTGGCTCTACCGCACAGTGCCCACGCATTCCCCGTTGTTAGTCCACTCCTCGCTGCTGTGTGTCGTTTTGCAGACTTCCTTACTCTTCTGATCATTCCTTAGTGTCACTTTCTAGGTGTGGATTCCTAGGATCCTTTCTAAAGTTTCAGGCCCACAGTGCTAAAGGAGACTCCAGAAAGCTGCCGCCCAGAAGTTCGGGGGCACCTCTCCCCCTGCGCACCCCGTGCCTGCACCCCAGGCCTGGCGGTGTCATTTTGACTCATCTTTGTCTGTTCTTTCTTTTCTATTTTCTTCACCTGTCAGTTCTAGGAGGATTGCTGCACCATTTGGGCTGTTAATTTTGTAACATGTTTTACTACTTGGCAAGGCAGATCCAGCCCCCCTGCCCCTAAATTACAGTGGTACCTCAGTGCACGAACGCTTTTGTTTCGGGACAGTTTGGTTTGCAAACAGAAGCATTTGGCAAAATTTTGTTTTTATTTGTGAACTCTGCATCAGGTCATGAACACCGCCGCAGCCGTCTTTCCCACATGAACACAAATGTGGCCGCCATCTCTAGAATTGTGGAAAGAATGAAATACATGAACCAGTGTACCACTGTACTTAATTTTTTTAAAATGTCCTGGTATTCTCATTTTTCCCAGATGATATTGATGATGATGATGATGACGATTGAACCCAGGGCCTTCACACTGAGTTACATCCCCAGCCCTTTTTATTTTTTATTTCAAGACCTGGTCGTGCTAAGTTCCCCAGGCTGGGCTTGAACTGGTGAACCTCCTACATCAGCCTCCCAGAGTGGTGAGAACACAGCACTGCACCACCATGCTCAGGTCCAAATGAATCTGTTCCTTTTGGAAATTCTAGAAATAATCTCTTTGGAATTTTCTTTAGCCTTGCATTAAAATCACAGGTAATCTTAGTGTAGTTGGAGCTCTTCGTGGAGAGCGTTGGCTCTTGTTGCCCAGGAACACAGCTCGATTTCCTTAGCGCTCCCCCTGCCTACCTCCCTGCAGTGTTTCTGTTTCGTGCCATGCGGCCTGTGCACGCGCATGTGTTTTTGTTTATCATTAACCTTCAGATCTATGGTCTTCGCCTTGTTTACAACCTTGTTTCGCAGCGCGGATGTTCTGGTTGAGCAGTCTCTGGCTGTATATAGTCTGATTTCCTCCTTCGCAAAGGACTGAACACTTTTTACCTTGTTTTGCTTGCCCTTTGTTATGAATACCTGATTCTTATTATCACCTGAGAATGAGAAGAAGGCTTAGATCTTAACTTTGAAAGTTCTTTCCTGGCTTTTGGAGTATCTTACTCCCGTGGAGTCGGGAGTGGGCGATTTCTCCCCTGGATAATTCTGATCAAATACTGCACCTCTGCACGGGTGCCCCCTCTGGCTAGTGCGCCTGCTTTCCCTCCCAGCGGTCCTCGCCAAGTGGCAGCCGGAGTGCTGGCACCGTCACCTGCGCCCGCCTGCGCTTGGCGCTCCAGCTGGGCTTCCTGCCATCACTGTCCTCGCGGCGGGCCTGTCGCACTGGTCACACTGAGCCAGGCACACGCCGTGGTGTCCTGGCACCTCTGTGGCTCGCTGCTGCCCAGCTGGCTTTGGCAGGGCATGAGCTAACTCACAGTCCTCACTGGGGTCTTGTTTTTAGCACATTTTATAGAATATTTAGTTTCAAATGAGAGGTATTTCATTTTCTCAGCACAGAGGCAGCTGGTCATTTCTCAGTGCACGTTGGGGAAGAGGAGGAGTTGGACGTCTTGCTCCTCTGCGCTTACGTCCCGGCGAGCCAGCCGGCGGGCCCTCCTGACAGGCGGCCCCTGCGTGCTTCTGTGCCCTGCCCCCCTTACAGTCACCTCCACCAGACCCTGCTGTAGGTGGGCGACAGCTGCTTTGATCTGGGCATTTGCCCAGGTTTAAAATAATTGTTCTGAGGTGCCTCTTCCTGATTATGATTTGCTCTGTAGGAAGAACTAAATATATTCTCCAACTTTTTCCTCCTGTCCTACATTTGAAGCCCGTCTTGTGACAAAGTAGGGAACACACTGATCTTCCGTCTGCTTGGGGTGGCCACAATGGTCTTCCTGGCTCTGGTTTCTGTGGGATGGCCGGGAGGGACTGGCTCCAACAGGAGCATCCAAGGGTGGTCAACGTGGCTTACTTGTAAATTTAGTTTTTAGGTGTTTGTTTTTGTTGTTTTATTATCTTTTGGTGGGAGTTTTGTGTGTGTGTGTGTGTTCCTGCCTCTTCAGATTCATTGGGACCTAAATATTGAAACAGATAGATAGGAAATAGAAATAAACTGTGAATTTTCTCTGCTTTTTTTTGTGTACCCCCCTGCCTTAATTTAGATTGAGGAGAGGATATAAAATATAGTAAAATAAACTAAAATTGCCTCCAATGGTAGAAATTTTTAAAATTCTCTTCTGGTGCCACACACCTGTAAACCCAGCACATGAGAGGCTGAGGCAGCAGGATCACCAAGTTTGAGACCAGTGTGGGCTACGTAGTTCAAGGCCAGCCTGACCTGCATAGCGAGACCCTATCTCAAAGAGAAAAAAAAAAAATGGAATCTGTCATCAGCATTCGCTTATAAAGGATAAACATTTTTCAGAATTACATGTCTTGAATTATGTAACATATGAATGTCTTTTCTTAAATATTTCATTGTATCCATAACAATACATAAATTTCTAGAACTGTATTCTCTGCACTATTAGAAGAATTTGACCAGATGTGTTTTATATTAAAGTTTTTCTGTTGGGTTTTGAGTTGTAGAGTCTTTAAATAAAAACATGAACTGCTAGGAACGAATTTCTGTTACTCTGTGACATGAATTACTGCTTTGTCAAATCATTTTTCTTGGATTAAATGAAAAATATAGACTGTTTCTAACTACTGTGGCTTAACTCCTAACTGATATCTTCATTTCAGTGAAAAACTTAGGAGGCTTTGATTTCCCAATTTACAAAATAAATTAGTTCCTAGGCAGTCATTTGAAGAACTCTGTGATAGAATTTTGGATGAACCCCTGACTCTTGGTGTATTGGTGCCATCTAGTGGCTCAACTGTGTCATAACGTCAGTGCTCAAATCCCTGCCATGTCCTGAGCAGAATAAGATATGCCAGGAATTCTTTCCAAACTATAGATCATCCATTCTAAATCTACATTAAAAGTGTTGAGTGACTCATGGTAAAAATAGTAAACAGGATCTCTCATGCATGGTTCCTTTTCTGAAAGTCTGTATTCCTGTTCTTTGTCCCCAGCTGCTGCTGTTCGAGCGGTCCTGGATGAACAGGTGGAAGTCTTCTGTCCTGCATGAAGGGGAAGGGAACATCCGCAGCGTGAAGTGGAGGGGCCATCTGATCGCCTGGGCCAATAATATGGTAAACCCCATTCTCTGTCTTCCAGACACTCGATTGGTCCCAGAAGAGTAGGTAAGATTCAGAGGGCGCTGAAGAAGGGAGAAGGTGCCGCACTGGCGGGCGTTGGTACCGTACTTGGGCGGTTAAAGAAATCAGATTCCTTTGGCTCTCAGAAGGTAGTAATCCCCAGCAGAGTCTGGACTCCATTGTAGAATAGGAAACGCGGGGCATGGAGAGCAGCCAAGAGAATGAGCACCTGTCTTAGTAGTTGAAGGGCTGCATTGAGAATGAGGTTTGAAGGCCAAGGGCTGGTAACAGCTGATGTGAAGTAAGTGCAGAATGTTGCAGATTTGTCTTTACTCCCAGCATCATCCTAGGCAGAAGTCTAAGCCTGCCTTAAGAAAGCAGATCACAAATTTCAGAACCACACTTAATTAAGGTGTACGCTATAAAAATCAGGGCCAGTTCATATCTGTCATGTCTTTGGAAAATTTCAAGTTATGATTTAGTAAATCAACTTTTTTTTTCCATATTAAGATGGAACCAGGACCTTTGTACTGAGCTATATCCCCAGACCTTTCTTTCTTTTTTTTTTTTGGTTTTTCTCCGGTACCGGGAACCGAACTCACGACCTTGCGCTTGCCAGGCAGGCGCTTTGCCGCTGAGCTAAATCCCCAGCCCCTTCCCAGACCTTTCTAGTTTGTAGTTTGATACAGGGTCTCACTAAGTGCCCAGGCTGGGATAGAAGTTATGATTCTCCTGCCTCAGCCTCCCAGAGTGCTGGGATTACAGGCTTGAACTACCATGCCCAACTTCATTCATTTTTAAATGATAGAAATCTCAGAACCCATTCTCTTTCACAGTAAAGGTAAACTAACCTGTGGTTTCGTGGTCCAGTTTTAGTGAGCAGCTTGCTTGATGTTTCCCTTTGAGAACTTAAACATGTCAGGTGCAGTTTTCTTTATATAGGTGGTTTCTCAGGATCAAAACCTTTCCAAAACAAAAGCCTCATTTTTGTGGCGCAGCGGTACAATTAGAAATGTTACTTGTCTGTCGTTTTGGAAATGTAGTTGTTGATACCCATACATGTCACATTTGTGTCGGATTTGAGTCACCAGGCCAGCTACTGACAAAACATCCTTTGTCCACAAAGAAGTTCAGAGATTTTCCTGTAGTTTGGATTCCCATGGGATTGTGGGCACCGGAGTATTCTCCTTCACATAGCTCTTAGCTGTGCCCCATAAATGCTGCCAGTGTTTCGCAGTGGTGCGTTAATAAATTTTCCTTTACTTCTGCCTAATAGAGAATGCTTAGTGCTGTGTTGCTCTCCAGGGTGTGAAGATTTTTGATATCACCTTGAAGCAAAGAATCACCAATGTGCCCCGGGATGACGTAAGCCTCCGCCCAGATATGTATCCCTGCAGCCTCTGCTGGAAGGACAGTGTAACCCTGATTATTGGCTGGGGGACTTCCATCAAGGTGGGTTTGCTTGTCTTTATAGTAACTGCGTGTTTGAGATCCACTGACAGAGGCCTAACGGAATAGCAGGTCTCAGATGGCTTCTGCGACCCCAGATATTTTCACCTGTTCTTCTGATGCAATAACTATTTAATGCTCAGATTATTATCTGTGTCTAAGTTTTAAGATACTGTACATTCTTTCTTTTCTGTACCATGCAGTGCAACCTAGACTTTTCCATGCTCAGAATGGTGCTGCCTTTTTTGATCTTTTTTTAATTTCCCACAGCCTGGCGGTAAGGCCACGGCTATTTACGGAACGTGCGGGTAGCTTTGCTGGTTAGCCAGGTTTTTGCTTTGTTGTTCTAGCTCCCTTAGCTTTGACCTTTAGCTTCTTCATTTGAGTTATTGATGGTGGAGAGAGAACGTTAAAACTAAATCACTCTGCCTGGTTGATAATTTTGACGGAATAGAAGCCCGGACTTATTATCAATAATAAGATCTGGGAATATTTTCTGGCATGTAATGATCTGACCCTGTGTGCCTGGGTAAATGAAATTTAGCTGTTCTATAAAAGGGGCCAGAGCTCAATCGCATTTGTCTCCCACATACCAGAGTTTTTGTCAGACTAGATACTTCAGAGCCCAGACTTATGCGTTTGCCTTTAGAAATACATTATTTAATTTAAACAAGCTAAAGATGAACTGAGTTTTAAGTGGTATGAGAAGGTGTCCCAGCGATCATCTCGTGGAAGACTCAGGCTTTGGAAGCAGGCAGGCCTGGGGTCTGTTGCCACTTCCCTTCCACTAGTGTCGCCCCCTCTCAGCCTTACTGTCCTCATCTGCAACATGGTAGTCCAGTAACACTCAAATCGCAAGATCAGGGAGGAGAGAATGAGGGAAGTGCTGTAAAGCGCTTAGTGTAGAGTCTGACATACTGTAACTGCTTAATGTTGGCTGCCTTTTATACAGAAAATCCTAGAAATGTCATAAAAGAGATACACCTTTTTAAAATTCACTCTTCTCTTGAAAGGGAAGGCGTAAGATTTACTAATGCTGTGATTGTTATTACCAAAACAATCAGTGTTGCTCTCGAGATAAGGGCCTTCTGGCCTTCATGCTGGTATTACAGATTTTCTTTTCTCTTTTTTAGATTGAATATGAAGGGATTGTTTTTATATGTTTTGTCAACATACCTGACCCAAATTTAGGGTAATAAAAAGAAAAATGTAGCCAGGCATGGTGGCGCACACCTGTAATCCCAGCACTCAGGAAGCTGAAGCAAGAGGATCATTTCGAGTTCGAGGCCAGCCTGGGGTACAAAGTGAGCTCAAGGCCAGCCTGAACTGCATAGCGAGACCCTGTCTCAAAAAGACAAAAAAAAAGAAAATGAAAATAAATGTGTCCAATAGTCCAGTATAAAGAAAGTGCCCTCCTGTCTCCCCATTTCATGTGTGGGGGTGGGGAAGGTAGCGCTAAGGAGCAGATCCTGTCGGGGCTCAGGAGCCTTTGTGAAGTCTTTGTTTTTTTGTTGTTGTTTGTTTTTCTCTTTTTGAGACAGGGTCTCGCTATGCAGTTCACGCTGGTCTAGAACTCACTTTATAACCCAGGCTGGCCTCGAACTTGCAACAATCCTCCTGCTTCAGCCTCCCGGGTGCTGGGGTTACAGGGGTGCGCCACCATGCCCAGCTCATGCTTCCTGAAGTCTTTGGTTTTTAATGTGAATACGCTGGGACACCAGCCAACAGTTTGGAACTGTGGAGTTAGGTAACGACCTGCCGTATAGTATATGAGATGGATCACACCAGTTGCTGTGTGGGCCTAAACAAGAAAGGGACAGTAAAGAAGGGAGACGGGGCAGGAGGCCCCTGTGGTCACTGTGTAGAATAGTGTTTCCTCAGGTCAGAGCAGCGGCCTGATGAGACGCTTGATTCCGGGTGTGTGTGGAGAGCAGACCCTGTAGTATCTTCAATGATGGATGTGAGATGTAAGGAGCAGAGGAAAGTCAGCAGCCAGCTGAGGAACTGGAAGATGAGGCTCGCCCGGGCCCATGTGGGACCGGCCCGGCGGGGCGCAGTCAGAGGGAGAAGCAGGCGCTGCTTGGGGACGTGTTCGGCCAAGCTGCCTATCGTCCGCCTTGCAGAGAAGCGGAGGAGACGGTGGATGAGGCAGATGAGTGCTCGGGGCAAGAGCCTGCCTGTGCGTGCGAAAGGTCATTGATCTGCTCTCGTGTGGGACATGAGCTTAAGGTCGCATCTACCTTCTCACCTCCTGTCTGAAGGAGACAGGCGCTGGAGCGAGCGCTAAGCCCGCAGAACTGATGAAAGCGTGAGCGGAACCATGGCCGGCTGCCGGTGGTGCTGTGTCCTGTCTTCGTGGAGGTCGTTGCGTGGCCTTGGGTGCTGTCAGCTCCCGCCTTCCCTTCTCCAGCTTAGAGTGGTCATGGTGACTCACGGTGCTGAGGGCTGGAAGAGGCCCCTTAGTCCCGGGGTTCGGTCAGCGCCCCGAGATCTCTCCGTTTCTCTCTCCTACCTGCCAGGTCTCCCCACCTGTGGTTCTGCCCCTGGATTCTGTCCTGAGCAGTGCGGCTAGAATTGTCTCTCTGGGGTGCGGAGCAGATGTCACTGTCCTGTGTAAACCACTCAGGGCGTGCTCCTTACCCGTAGGGCAACGGATCTTAACACGGCTGCCAGGGTTCTGTGTGACGCAGCCTCACGCTGCCCCCTGCTGCCCCCTGCTCTCTGTTTCTGTCTGCTGGACCTTCCAGTTGAAGGCCCCAGGCTGTCGAGTTGTCCTGTGTACCCGTCCTCTCGTATGTCACGTCGTCCAGGAAGTCTTCAGTACGTGCCTCTGCCTCTTCACCCTGCATTGATAAAGTGCTTTATTTGTCTGTCTCCCCGCTGCGTTATAATCTTAAGAAAATAACCTGCACTCAGGACTTGTGCTTGGCAGTTGCTCAGAAAGTGCTAGCTAACGCTCAGGAGATTGCCTTCTAGCTGTGCTTCCACCCCTGTGGAACTACGCGTGCTCTGTCCGTGTGGGAGACAGCTGTTCTTCTGGCGTTGTGGAGCGCAGCGTGCCTGTCACGTGGTCTCCTAGTTTCCCTAGAAAGTGTGGGTAACAGTGTGGATATTTCCTCAAAAGGAGGAAAACCGATGGTCAAAAAGGAGATCTGTCAAGTAAATCACAGTATATTCCTTTAATTAAAAGCTATAGAAGAATACTTAAATAATGTACTAAATTATTTATAGTAAGTTGTTAGGTAAATATAAGTAGCTTCCACAGAGAAGTTTGTTAGTGGTGTTTTCCTTGTGCCAGAGTAATAACTAATATTTGCTTTCCTCTTTGGGTTTTTATTTTAGAATTTTCTGGAGCATAGCCACAGGAGGGTCAGTTATAAATGATCGCCATTTAGAAGGAAAAGGCAAAACCCTGATACTTACGGAAGTTGTGTAAGATTAATATTTGACTTCTGGGTCCATCTTACCTGGATGGCTGAATTTACATAAATTCTGTGTGTTTGTTATTACAAAATGGAGTATTTTCCTTCAGAAACCACAGCACAGAAGGTAGAAGGTATCCACAGTGTCCTCCACAAGCACTGCGAGCGCACGTGTGTGCGGTGTGTCTGTGTGTGTGCGAGGGGTGGAGGGAGACAGAAGGAGATGGAGAAATCGGCCTGGCTTGCGCTGCAGACCGAGATGTGTGCACATTTCTACCCAAACCGCATGCCTGAAACTTAGAATAAAGGTTGGCCCCGTGTTTCTGTAAATGGCTGCAGTAGTGTGTTAGACAAACGGGCCCTGTCGTGTTGTCACCGCTACGGCTTCCCATCCCTCCTCTGTACCTTTCCTTCTTCCCTTAAAAATATGTGGAAGATGCCCTACTCAGAACGGGCTGTGGTCCTGATTCTGTAATACATTGATCATGATACATGAAATGACAAGAGCACATGCCTCTCTGGAAAGTCTCCTCAGCAACAGAGAAATGGGTAACTAATGCGTAATCAGAACGCTCAGATGTCATGTAAACACAGGTCACATTGCCATGGGGTGTTTGGTTACATCTTCCCAGCACAGCCCTGTCTGGATGGTGAAGAAATATACACATGATCCCTGGATAATGGGGATGCATTGCTAGATGTTCCCTGTGGGCGGTGTCATCATGGTGTGCCGCTCACAGTGTCGCTGAGCAGTAGAATCTGGGGAGCCCGCCCTAGTACATATGTTCTGTGACTAACTGCAGGGTCCTATTGTAGCACATGACTACAGTCCTCAAATAGAGCTTCAGAGACCAGGTTATTAGAATACATTAAAACAATCTTAAAGTTTCCTTTCTTTGCCCTTGAATAAGACTGTCTCTGTCTCTGCCTATCTGTCTCTCTCTTTCTCTCTCGTTGTCTGTCTTGAGATTGAACCCAGGGCCTTTGCACTGAGCCACATCGTCAGCCTATTTTGACTTTCATTTTGAGTTGGTGAGTTGCCTGGGCTGGGCTCAAACTTGGAATCCTCCCACCTCAGCCTCTCACAGGGCTGAGATTACAGGTGTGCACCACCATGCCCAGTTCTTGAGTATGACTTTATTGAAGAATAATGTTGGAAAATGAGTAGAAGTAATGGTTGCTATATATCATTCAAATTAATTTCTATCATTAAAGTCACATCGTAGATTGTATGCATTCCATCATCAGGGATACATGGTTAACTTAACAGAAGTATCATGTGTTGAATCACCTGCTGTGAAGAATTTCCCACCAGCTGAGTAGAATAACCTGTGGATTTATTTTCCAGATATGCTCGGTGAAGGAACGGCACGCCAGTGAAATGCGAGATCTGCCAAGTCGCTATGTTGAGATAGGTATGGCTCCTTCACCTGTCTTCTCTGAGTGTAAAGCTGCAAAAGAGCCTGCTTTGATTGCTTGGAAATCTAAGGCCATGTTCTTCCCCAGGGCTTATTCCTTAGTATGTACATTAAGTACACCCAGGAGCTTTTATGTTCTGGAATTTTATTTGGAAACCCTTTTGAAAAAACCATATTTTTAAATTTCACATGAGAGTCTTACAGTTGGCTTTGAAGTTGGATAACCATGGGCCAGGGCTCTGGACACATTTCTGCATGCTTCAGTAATCTCATCAGTCATATGTGGGGAAGAAACCCTGTTTCCCAGGGGAGTCGCAAGAGGTGGTGGAGTTAATTCACGCACACACCTTACACTTTCTGAGTCTTCATTTGCACCTTGGCTGGTCTAGCCAGGCTGCCCTGGTCTTTGATCTGGACCCCTGTGGCAGCTTCAGAGCTGGTTTATCTCCTCCCTGTATGCATAACTCCCACTGCAGTGGAAATGCAGATCAGATCATGTCGTCATCCTCCTGCACCTTCCCATTCTTAGGATGAAGCAGGGATGTGGTTCTTGGCGTAGAGCACAGGGTCAGCACCTCCTGTGCCTGTCTCCTTGGTCTAGGCTCCTCCGTCCTCTCTGTCTAGAATGGTTTCTTCTTTTTGCTTCCCTGATGCTTAGACTTAGCTCAAATGCTCCTTTCCTGGGAACACCCACTTGACCCAAACTAGGCCATGTCCCACATGGGCTTGTTTAACGCTGCGCCACCGTTGGAAGGGCAGCGGCAGCCATCGCGTGATTGCTGGCTGTGTTCCTGTGGCTTTGCCAGACTACTGCTGCATGGTTGCAATCACACGCTGCTGCTGTTTCTGCACACTTTGTGTCTCGTGGACCTGGCCCAGTGCTTGGCACACAGTAGGTGCTGAGTAATGCCATGTTGATGAACTAGCGCCTGAGAAGCAGCTGCTCAGGAGAAGTGTGGCAAGGACAATATGCCCTCGCTTTTCTAACTCAGCCTGCAAAAGTTATTCTGAGTGGGAAAAAAGTTTTAGCATATTATAGGTCAGCTATAAAGTTCATTTGCCCATTTGGATGGTGAGCGGGAAATAAATATTTGATGGGTTATTATAGCCAGGCAACACTGAAATAAATTCATTTGGTTTGCATTACCTATATGTCAAAAATTCGATTTAATTTTTGTTTTTTAAACTTTACAGAAGGGTAAATATGTGGTTCCAGATTATGGACAAAACAGGCATATGTACAGTGTACTGAGAAAAGCTGAGGAATACAACGGTAGAGAAGACTGATAATTAGAAAAGGAATATTGTTTCACTGTCCTCCTCTTTTTTCCTGCCCTTCCTTCCTTATCAGGGGAAAAAAAAATCACTGAACGTCTCAGCACATCATGTCCTGTGAAATGATATTTGAATTTTTTAATATAAACATGTAAAACTAATTGTCAGAGAAGTATAAAAGTGCAGCAGTTGTCACCTTCTCGTCTTGGTGGGTTTTTATTGCTCACATATGCAATATAAGCCTCGCGCTGTGTGTGTTAACCACGTGAACTCGCTTCACTCTCACAGCAGTTCGGGGAGGTACAGCTTTTCAGTCTGTTGATGAAGACACTGGGGATCGGGGAGGTAAACAACTCATCCAAGGTCCTGCTACTGAGGGTAGAAGCTAACTTCTGTGGGTAGAAGGGTCCTGCTACTGTGGGTACCTACTGTGGGTAGAAGCTAACGCTGCAGAAGCACCAGAAAGGTGCCAAGAAGCCCGGGCTGTTTGCTGAATGAATGTTCAATCATGACAAGGTAGCCTAACCTCCTGAGCTGTACTTTCCCCATGTGTTAGATGGAGTGGAGACAAGGGTGCTCCCTTCCAGGATGGTGTGAGAGCCAGACCTGACAAGGTCACAGGCCTAAGGTCATACTTGCCACTAGTAGTTGCTCACTAAATTATGGCAGTGATTATCACCTGCACACTGCCGTCTGTACTCCGGCTGCTAAGAGTTGTCTCCATGGTGGCTGTATTAGCTCAGAGCCATGAGATCATATTACTGAAATGTAGTTCACTTGTACTATAGTTTATGTGAAGTAGACCGTGTGTAGGTCCTCACAGTATCACCATAGTAACGTTTTACTACTATGCTTAGTAGGTAAGTACCCTTTTTTTTCCCCTTGTGAGAGCAAACTTTAAGAATATAAACCATTTCCACAGCAGGAGGCAAAGTGGTTTGGATAAGAGTTCTTGAGTAGGAAAGGGGAAATATAAGGAAGTCTGGATTACAATTCGCTATAGTGCTGAACAGTGCAAGCCACTGTTTTTTAGCAAATGAGATTAAAGAAAGATCTGTGGGTGCACCTTCCTTAGAAGCCAAATGTTTATATCTCTTCCTTGTAAGTCAGAATTTCTAAAACAACATCAAAGTTATTCCTACTAAGAGGATACTGATACTGTAAATGAAAAATAGTAGTGGTAGTGAAGACTAAGTGCACCGGCCAGTTAGCCGCCCACAGAGATTCTCTGCACAGAGGATTTTCCAGTATGTTTTTTTTCTTCCAGATTACATTCTTAAAAGTAGACCATGGTCCATGCCTGTTATATTCATGTTAACCTCGCTTGGATCTCTTGTACCCTCACAAGGCTTTCTAATCTCTGGGCCTTTTCACCAGTCTGGTCTCTATGGAATGGTATTGGAGACGGAATGGTAGCTGGAGAGCTGATCTGCGGTTGATAAATGAAGCCAGTGTTTGTGTCATTTTCTGAGTGTCTGCTGCCAGTGGCTGATGGCTTCCATGCAAGGAATTAATGGTTGACCTCTTTCCTTGATTTCATGTGGAAATTTGTTTGGAAAATAATTGAAGTAAACAACTACATGAGAATCTGTATAGATGACAGAGAAACCAGGAAGGAGAAGGTGGAGGAAAGGTCATTTAAAAAAATTAACACATACTAATCATACAGATGAGTGGGTTTCATTGTGACATTTTCATACACACACATATATAGCGTACTGTATTGGTAGGGTTCTCTAGAGGAAGTTTGTTGTTTATACAAGAGGATTTATTAGGTAAGCTTCAGGAGCAGAGGCGAGAGTCCATGATGGCCGTCTGCATGCTGGAGAGCCGGAGGATCCAGTACTGCTTGGTCCGAGCAGCTGGAAGATACAGTACAAGGGAGATCAAGGTTGCAGCACCAGTCTGTGACAGGAGGCCTGGAAGCTCCCTGGAGAAGCCCTGGAGAAGCCCTGGAGAGTCCATGTTGAAAGGTTGAAGAAACCAAACTTTGATTTCACAGTTGATGGCATTGGCAAAAATCACACCTGCTCAAGCAGAGTGGAGCTTTGCAAATGCAGGCCGACTTCCTCCTCTTTTCTTCCCATGCTGGCCGCAAGGATATCGATGGCACTACCCAGGGAAGGGCCTCCTCCCTCGGTGTGCTGCCTAGCTGCTGGCTGTGTGTGGGAACACCCAGAGTCACAGCTAGAAGCCTGCTTGACTGATCAGCTCAGCCTCTCCTATTCCAGCCAAATTGACAACCAGGATTAACAGTTACACATAGGTTACTCATACCCATCCCCCCATGACCCTCCCTTGCCTTCCTCCCCTTCTCCCAGCCCCTTTCCTCTTCTCTAACAGTTCCCTTTGTTTTCATGTTGCTTTTTTTGTTTTGTTTCCAGTTTAATTCAGTAGTGTCGGTATCTTTAATTGGTTGTGCAATATTATCTTAGAATTTAGCCAAGTATTGTGTTTTGAGATTGCAGCACAGTGACCTGGAAATTGCAGATATGTTTTTGTATGGTGCAAGAGAGCTGTGAGATCATTTTTCCTTAGGTTGAAGCATCTCTCTCCATCCACCTGTTACCACTGTGACTTTGACGTGCAGGTTACAACAGGGGGGTAGTTCTTCTCTGTGCGGGAGTAACATGGTTTCACTCTTGGTCCAAGTCTCAGTAGAGATTATGACAGCTGCTGCTGTACTCAAGGGGGGTCTGTGAGATCTAGTGTTGTGTGATTTTCTCTTCTCTTGTTCTGTTCTGCATTGAGTTTACCCCAGTGTTGTATTATAAAAAATTTTTAAATACAGAAAAGTAATTTACAGTGAATACCTTAAAACCTCCTAGGTTCTTCAATGAAAATTTTCTTGCATTTGCATTTTTACATGATCATCTTTCTTTCCTCTTGCAAGGGATGAAAAAACTCTGCCACACAGTGCTGGAGCTGCGCATGTTGCTGGCATGGGATGCATAGACTTTCTGTGTAATAAGTAACACTGAAAAATGTGAAGCACTTGAAGTGTCAGATGTATTTTGTTCCATGAGGCATAGTGTTAAATGCATTACAAGCAGAATGACATTAATCTTTACAGTATTCTGTAGGCTAGGGGCTGTTATCCCCATTGTATCAGAGAAGCAGCTTCTGTTTGGAGGGCCAGGTCACCTGCTCAAGATTATTACAAAAGCAGAAAGGCAGTGTTTGAACTCAGGTCTGACTAGTTTCAGAGCTGCTGCTCATAACCATGGGGCTAAAGAGTGTTTCCCCAGCATTTCTGCTGTCTAGCTCTGGCTCTAGCTCATACCCACCGTTACTGGGGTTTGGGGTTCGGGGTTCATGAATCTCCTCCTAGAGGTGGTTTCTAGATGCTATCTGTCCTGACAAAGAACTGGTCAAGACAAGCACAAAGGATAGGTTTTATATTCTTTAAAAGTAGGAAAAGAAACATGCACGGCAGAGCAAGTTTGGGCCAACCAGAGGTATTAAAAGTACTCCCTAGGGGTGAGAGCATTACACACACTGTTCTTATAAGCAGCAGTTGTCGTCGTCACTGTTTGTGTCTCAATTCACAACTTCTGGGACCTCAGTTTTCTCGCTTTCCGCTGGTGCTTGTTTTATATCAGTTCCCATTTTTGCATACATCGTGCGGTCTCTTGGTGATGTCTGTGTACAGACGCAGACACTCCAGGTCAGGGTCGGTGTCTCAGTCTCCACACTTCCACAGGAGCGTGTTAGGCACCCTG